TAACAAACCACACACATATACGGGTTTTATATTGATAATCGAGAATCATTACACATTCTATGAGCTGAAAAATAACATGTTTCTAGGCATTAGTGTTAAACAGCTCTTCTATTCATAAATAACGGGCTCAACAATCTTGACAAAAAGGTTTCGAAAAAGATTTACTGAAACAAACAATCCTTAATTAAGAATATTTATTATAAATAAATCTGATTTCATCACTTTAAAGCACGTTATTTAATAAACCGAAAATTTCCACACGTCATTTAGTTACAAAACATTACACGTTCAAATTTGAGAGATTTTAATTGTTATGCATCAGTGAATGATGGAAAACTCTTCGAAATGTAAAACCATCGATTTTTATTTTAAATGAACCCATTTTGTGCAAGTATTTCGTGTAAACCATAGTTGGCAATCCATTCATATAAGGATACATATATATATGATCAGTCTGCATTTATTTCAAGATGTTTTAGCATTTGATATGTCAATGATTACAATCAATAAGTGGGGTGGATGGACAAACACGAAACTACACACGGTTTCTATTGAACGTACATTGTGTTACTTGGATATTGTCAGGTGTCTATGTTGAATGAATAGTTGTATCAGTAGTGGTATGTTATTTGGATCATATGAAGTGAACCATCTGAGATCACAAATATGATTTAAGTTCATGGTTTATCGACTAGTGTATAAATGAATTCGGATGTGACTGTTGTGTCTCATCAATTCAAATAATATGATATTACTATTATTACGCCTTCCACTAGTACTCGCACTACTTCTACGACCACAAATAGGCACACTACTACCACTACTTCTACCAGAGTCATTTTTCTCTCTGCATATAACTTACTCTTCAAAAAATGTGTTTTCTGATTTGCAAGAACGAAGAATGACACCATAATTGTCTATGCAACAATGCCACAATGATTGTTAGTTAGTGATGATACACTCAAAACAGTGAAGCAAATAGAATTTGAAAATGAATTTTACTCAGTCTAGAAACACACTAATATGATCGAAGTAAATAGTCTTTCAGTACCACACAATACGTTCACAGTTGTCGTGAATCACTTCTGACACTCAGTAAGATTGTAGACAACTGTGGATGAATTGTCATCTCCACACTCACAAGTCAGTTGATGATTGTCTCACATGTTCACTGTAACCAAAGTCACTGTCGATATCACTTGACAGTGAATACCAGTTAGTCTACAACACACATCGTCTGAATTCCATATTGTGACATCCATTCAATAAATGCATCAAAAAATCTATTGATATCAGTTTGTTGTTTGCATGTCACTCGAATTGTTCACCAAACGTAAGAATGTATTGATCCCCACACTTTAATGATTGTCGTTTCAGGAGATGACGCATTCTGGTAATTAATGACGTTGTGTGTAATAATGTGACATTAAAATCACCTGATCTATTGCGAGTGTACTCTATTTGAGTAAATAGATCATGATGAAAGGAGAAGATCGTGGATGAATGTGTTTGTAGCATACTAGATTTGTGGTAATGAACAAGGTAATATACAACGGAATTACGGTTTCATGCAAACATCACATATATGTCATTTTAACTCTCACTTATTCAAACATGTGATATTGTATAACCTAATCATTACATCCAGTCACATTTACTCCTTGTCAGATGACAAGAAGTGAGTTGTAGAATTTCGAATCTGTTTTATTGAAAATATTTACTTAGTTACTAACGCTTGTTACCCCAAGCGGAGGAGCGTAAGCTTCTTACCAACACTCTCTATCCAACCCTTTTCTGAGCAATCCTTTCCAATTCATTCCACTTGCTGTTTGAGATTTTCATATCTGCTTCCAATTCTCGGCATGGTGTGCTTTTCGGCCATCCTATTCTCAATTTCCCTTCATGACTCTGTGTTAGGGTTTGCCTCATGATGCAGTTTGATGATTTGTTCAATGTGTGTCCTATCCACTTGCAACGGCTTTTCCTGATTTCCTGCTCAGCTGGAAGCTGATTTGTTCTCTCCCACAATGGGCTGTTGCTGATGGTATCAGGTCAACGGACATCCCGTATCTTGCGTAGACAACTGTTTATAAATACGTGTATCTCTTTGATGATGGTTTAAGTGGTTGTCCATGTTTCAGCTCCGTACATTAAAACTAACTGTCTTGACATTCGTATTGAAGACTGCGACATAGATATTGGTTGACAGTTGTTTTGAGTTCCATATATTCTTCAATTGTATGGATGCAGCTCTTGTTTTGCCATTCTTCGCACTTGAGTCTGCATCGGATCCTCCTTGTTCATCGATGATGCTTCCCAGCTGCGTGTAATATTGGAACATCTTCCAGAGCATCTCCATCAAATGTGCCTGGGTTGGTGTTCTCGGTGTTTTATTTGAGAATGTTGCTTTTTTGCTTGTGTATCTTGAGGCCCACTAATATAGAGGCTGTTGCTACACTAGTTATCTTCATCTGCATTTATTCGTGTGCATGGGACAGAGGGATTAGCTCACCTGCAAAGTCCAAATCTTCTAGTTGAAAACACAAACGTTTATTCAAATGAACAAATACTGTGATATTATTTGCACACTAACCGACAGAAAATGTGAAGTTTTCTCATCGATTGGAAATCTATTGAACTGTCGAATTGTATTCGTGTTTAATGTAGATGTATTTGTGATTATTTATGATTTTCATAATCAACACTTTCGTAATATTATCAGAATGTGTTTTGTGGAGATTTTTAGAAATTTTCACAGATTGAACTCATGAGTCAGTTGAAGCTAGACCACCATTGAAAACCTGGAAGCACTGGACGGCCGTTTCGTCCTAGTATGGGACTCCTCTTAGAGGGGTCGTTGTTTTCGTTGACGATGATGATGGTGTGATTGGATTAATTGCAATTCGTTTGTGGCTAGTTGATATTACTGGGTGTGTGTTGTTTGTTTTCATTTGCTTCTTCACAATAATAATAATAATAATAATAATAATAATAATAATAATAATAATAATAATAATAATAATAATAATAATAATTTTGCATTCTGGTTAAGTGTATTTATCATGTGATCATGTGCACATGTGATGATGGTTATATGGATAAGGGGAAGTTGTGTATTGTATTTGATGTTGAACGACCATCACACTGAAATATCTTATCTAAAATAATAATTCAGTCAATTCATTGATCTACGACAATACTGTTTGCTGAAATGGTGGTGACAATTTTCAGTGTTGAATTATGGATGGCACATTGGTTAAATTGTATTTGTTCTTGTCTTATTTGTTTTGGCCGAAATCGTGTGGCCGTCCTTCATTACGTTGTGGACAACAAACAGCTTAGTGACAACAAACAGTTTGATCTACCTGTCATGAGATGTGATGAATGACAGGTTCGTGACACTGATCTATTCATGCTAGTTGATGTGAGTGTTTGCTCTAGCAACTCGACATGATTGGTTTCATCGGCACTAAAACTGTGGAACGGAAGCTTCAAATTGTACAGGAATTTAGTTTATGTAGGCACTTGATGTCGAATGGACGAGTGGAACGATTTCCTCTCAATCATATTTATGTGTGTGTGTGTGTGTCAGGAAATGGACGAATTGAAGGAACGAAGAGCTCTAGAAACCGGTTGGTTGAGCGTGTGGAAGCGAGTTGAAAATCAATGTTTCCTCGTGTAGTATGTTGGAGATACGTTATGCCGCTGTGACTCTGAAGATGAATCAGTATGAAATCTCCTCACATCGTCTAGTCACTCGCATACGAGTGATCTACGTTTCACCAGACCGTGTGAAACTGAGAATCGATAACGAGACTGTGTATTTTGTATGACCATTGGATTTGTTGATGGTTGCGAAATCAGTGTGAGCTGTGTACAGTTTAAAAGTGGTAGGAAGTCATCAATCGTCAGTCGACAATCAATCAATCAATCAAGCAAGCAAGCAAATAAACAAACAAAGAAGCGAACAATCAGGCGGACAAGTAAACAAACAACCAAACCAATCGGACAATCCACATGGATTTCCCGAATTGTTTATCGGAATCGACAATGAAAATGTCTTTGACGGAATCTCACGTGAAAATCTAACTAAACCGAATCACAGAGAATGTGTTTGGTTTAAGGCGATATATGGTCACGTATATTTGTGTTGTACAGATATACGGAATTCCTATCAAGTAATTTACTTCTTACATTTTACAGTGTTAACTATGATGTTACGAATATTTTTTTATTGTCCTCACTCCATCATTCTTACTCTACACGTCTCTCTAATCCGGTTTTCGTTTCTAACCTAGTGGTTTGAAATAGTTTATTTGTTTGTGATTGATGCAACTATGCGGTGATCGTTGCAACCACATCGAGAGCTGATTTGAGACTACTTGTGAATATCTGGTTTGTGGAATACTCTAAGAAGTTGTATTTCGAATATGTTTGATGTTGACTGAGAGAAGTGTGGAAGTGGCATCAATTGATCGAAGCCTTGTGATACACATTCAACAGATTGTGAGTAATGAGTTGTCAAACCACTGAATGAATTGTCAATATTTCTTCTCCATTTCTCAACCACGTGTCATTCTCATTTGGTTCTTTTCTATGTTAACGTTTTGCAATTGACCTTTAATCAGGCAAAATATGATTGCACTCACACTTTGTGACACAATCATTTAATTGTGTTTCAGTTCAAAAATATGATGCACCCGTTGCATCATAATCACTGAATATGAAATCCATTTGTCACGTGTATGCAAGCATAGTGTGTTTGGAATTGTTGATTCTAATGTAAGCTGATCAACCAGGGGCTACGTGTGTTACAAGAGATATGAAAAAATATGCTGTCATGTGATTGATATTTAATTCAATTGTATCAACCCAATGAACTGACAGTGAAAATTGGAACCAATTATGTTCAAGGTTATTGTGTTGCTCGAATTGTATATAAGCATGAAAACCTGATTTGAGAGACATTCGAATCACAGTCAGCTTGGTAATCACTGATCATGGTATTGTTGCCCAATAAACCTGCTCCAGAATTCAAAGGAAATGCTGTGGTTAATGGTGAATTCAAAGAGATCAGTTTGAAGGATTATCGAGGAAAATATGTTGTATTATTCTTCTATCCAGCTGATTTGTAAGTAGTAATTGTGCATATTTGTTGTGTAGTTATTGCATAGTGTTTGACTGCATATATTGATTCACCCACTCTATTCTAACCGATTACGTCTTCTGATTGGCCGAACTTGTTCTACTGGTTGAATGAACGTGTATTTGTTGTAACCGTCTGTCCTAATTATGCGTTGGATGTGTGTATGAAATTTGAGACATATTGGAGTTGTTAGATAGTGTAAGGTAATTTGTTGTAGAGGTCAGACGATATGTTGATCGCCTAATTTCTGACGACATTTTCGGGTGTGGTAAACGCGAATTCTAATTGGAGTTTATTTGTTTTGATTCGACTTTGCAATGTATGTGGATATCTGGAATGAATGATTAAGTCGTGCTCACCGAATACTAATATCTGTTCTTATATGGTTCCATCTGTGTGGGTTCACTCATCGGGAATACTTGAACCGTGTTGTGACCAATCATTCATCCGGCCCCACATATCTGAGTGGTAATAGTGAATACCACGTGACGAGTACATTTATACTGATTGCCATTGTGGATTGAGATGAAATGTCTAGGGAATTGTTCACGAAGCACACTGGTAATCTCCATTTTGACTCCAGTTTATTCATGCCAACGAGATCCTGACAGTCGATGTTGATCACATCACTGTATTGAATGTCTAAGTAATTGCCTCCTGCAGACGTCCTAGAAAATGCGTGTAAACTTATTTCACAGAATGCAGTATTATGCTGCAACGAATAGTTAGATAGCAGTGTGAAATTCGGTTCACCGATGATGCACAGATTTATCGTTCGCTTGATAATTATGATGAGGATTAATTCAATATGGCTGAACTGACATTTGTGGGGCTAACTATCGGAGTGACTAACTGACTGACTGGTTGGCTGACATGCTTTCTTGATACATGTCGAATTACATAGTCAAGTTGCTCACTGCTCGACTAATATGCCTAATGTGAATGCGTGGAATTGCATGTAGTTTCATCATCCCAGTGACTCTCCTCCTCATAATTCTTTCACAGCACATTCGTGTGTCCCACTGAAATCATCGCGTTCAGTGACCAGGTGGAGGAGTTCAACAGTCGAAATTGTCAAGTGATCGCCTGTTCTACAGATTCTCAATACAGCCATCTTGCATGGAACAATTTGGATCGTAAATCGGGTGGATTGGGTCAGATGAAAATTCCTCTGTTGGCCGACCGCACACAGGAGATCTCCAGAGCATATGGTGTATTAGATGAGGAGGATGGTAATGCATTCAGGTGAGTGGTGTGTTTGTATTTGTGTGATTTGTTGTCTGAGATTTGCTGCAATTTCGATAATCTGTGTTGAGAATCAGACTGATAGACGTGTGGAACGAATCGTGTTTAGTTTCCAGTTTGGAGTAGGAGATTGAAATAATTGTGCGACGACGCAAGAATCTTCTTGAAACAATATTTCAGTTTGGTGTTGTACTGGTTTCTCAGTGTCTTGATCTGTGTGTAGTCAACGATATATTAAGTTCTCTGACACGTTCCACTGTTCTACTTTTGACTGCGTTCTGACATAAAGTTCACCCGTTGACAGTTAAATGTTTGCTGAACCAAATTCTCATTCGATCTGTATTCTTGAATAGAAAATCAATCAATGTGTTATTAGATTGGACACAGCACAAATTGTATTTGAGGCATCACAGAAGCTGTGTTTCTTCATGAAATTTCTGACCATTAGAACCCAGTGCTCATAAAGGCAACCGAATCTCAACACTTGACTGAACTACCTATTGCATTGAGAGTATTGGTAATCGACTTGCACGTAGACACGAGTTTATCTGTACTTCTATTTATCATCTCCCTCACTATGCCTTCTTTTTTAGAGGTTTATTCATCATTGATCCGAAGGGAATTCTACGTCAAATCACGATCAATGACAAGCCAGTTGGACGATCTGTAGATGAAACATTACGACTACTGGACGCGTTCCAATTTGTGGAGAAGCATGGTGAAGTGTGTCCAGTGAACTGGAAACGTGGTGATCATGGGATCAAAGTTAATAAAAAATAGGCTTTGCATCATTTTTCATTGATCACTATATTCATGTTGAGTGACTAGATATCTGTGTGCTGTTCTACACATGAATTTGTAAAGTGTTAAATTAATTTCCATATAAATAACACCTTCCATTCATTCCGATATATTCTTATGTTCGTTTGAGTGTTCACTGTGAACTACAGTGTACTTCATTTTATTAATGTGTGTGTGTCGGACCGGTCGAAGAGATTGCGAATACTATGATGTGGTTGTATTGTCAGAATGACACGATTGTGTGTGATTTCACTTTGTCAAGTTAATTCAACACTATGATGTAGGTCGCTCGTTTGATGCGAATTCAGGTGACGAGTTTTCGTGTTCCACGTATGAGGAGGAGGCGGATTGTGTGGTGTAAACATCAACTGACTGCACTCACACAGGACTATGTGAAACGGTGTTGGAACTGACGGTCTAATTTGTTGATATTGAAATTGTGATAGGACATGTTGTTATTGTTTTATTATCCGTGAATATCGTTGTGTTGACGTCTGTAGTGGTGAATGAAACCGTTGTAAAGCTTTATTAGAAATAAATGACACTGAAGATGTCGATGAACAGGAGATGCGTTTGAAGTCACCAATTCGACATTCTGTATGATTACGCATCATACCTTCAATGTAAGTTCAATTAGCATTAACTTGTTGTTGTTCGAAATGAAGTAGGTGGAAATGTGTTTCGACCTACAACGCTTCGCTTCCAATCCTTCAAGTCAGTCGCCTCACTTTGCGTGCAAACTGAATAGAATAGGACAATGTGTAACTACTGAACAGTGTATATTACTGATTACATGAGCGATCTGCTTCGGTCTGGGCACATGGGCAATATCACAGCCCTCACACAAATCTCATTTGATTTGTGTGGCGCATATGTATCTGGTGCCCCATTGTACCAGTGTTTATGTGTTCAAATAAATAAATAAAATGTGAGCGATAATTTTGACGTGCATTAACAAAAATTTGACTGATAAAAATAGTAAGAATATTATTAGAAACCCAAGCATTATTCATTGTTATTGTAAGTCAGGTTGTTGATCACAGTAGTTAGACGAGCCTATGTTGTTGACAATGATGTAAATCAAACGTCATATAATGTGATGATTTTGTAATGTTTTGCACTACAGTTAAAACAAACTACGTATATTGATCACGACGGAATGATGTCATGTGATTGTAGTGTTGCTTTTGTTGCTTCATTAGAACAACATTGTTAACCACTGTCAGTTGATCATTGTCAGGTGACTGATTGAGTCTTCGAATTTCCATCGATTTCCTGAAATTATCAATATTGGTGTTGAGAAATATACGAAAACCTAGGTGTAACATAGTCAGTGGTTTATTGCATTTCAATTCACAACAAGTGAGACTGATAGTTACATGTCCAATCTATTTGTCGGTGAGTGATCGACAAAATTTAAAATCATCACTCATCCACTTTCTGACGTAGAATTTTAATCATTTCTAATTTGTGTCAATTATTTCCTATATGAGAGTGTGTTTTACTGTGAGATGAGATTTAATGTTGTTAACGAGTTATTTTGCATCTTGATGTCTGTTTCGTTGGGAGCATTGAGTCAACAGTTGAGTTTCTGTGAATGGCTGTCACTTGATCACACTCATCACAACAACTGAGTCAGTTGATCAAGCAATCTGCAGAAACACACTTTCACTTGGTTGCAAGAGACCACTTCTGAATGACCTGTTTAACTTTACATGCAAGTCATTATTTCGCAGTATGATTTTGCTGGTTTCTCAGTCGGAGTTGTATTGATGATATTCACTTATGTAAGATTCTATGGACACGCATTCAGTGCCTTCATTTTTCTAATACCCTGTATTAAATATTATGGTAACCAAATGAATTCAAAGAAAGTCACAAACTCGATTTCACTCTTCCCGTAATGAGAGATCGAAATGAGGGAGCGATAGAGAATATGCAACTCGATACAGAACAAACAGTAACATTATCTCATTATTGTGGCCATCGTAAACTAGTGATTCACCAAACGACGAATTGTGATGTGCATCGTATGGTGTGCGAACTACTGTGTGTTGTCAGACAGATTTCACCTTGTGACGAATGGAAAACAAGTCACCATTAGTGCAGACTATCACCGTATCAAAGAATGAAGTTGCATTTGACCATCGATTGAACAGTGATTTGACGATCCAACATTGACTACTAGGTTGTGTCGATCAGCTTTTGAACATTGTAGATCACCAACGTAGATGATCTATCTCGAATGATTTGAGGTCCGCTCGAGTTCGACGGAAATTGCTTGACGAACCAGCTAACTTGGAAACCACACCTCGCGGAGAGCATCAAACGTGGATTACCCCCACGATGTATCAAATTACTATGGCTGTTTTGAAGACCTTATAACACAAAGGACGTTATTATGAATATGTATGAGTAAGAATGTGTACAGATAAGAAAGCGAGATCGCCGCTGCATGAGCCAGCTCATGGTATACGATTAACTGATGCGCGTTGGTTTTCCTTGTGCTGGACAGGATCGATGATCTGTTCGATATTCAGTGATGCAACAGCCGGATGATTTGTCTAGGGCTCAGTGACATTTTACTTTCCACTCTCAATATCACCACTCAATTTCGTACACGTTTTCAAATCTTCTTTTACGTGTCAGCAACTTAATCGTTTACTGGATATTCTCCAAATCCAATCGTGACTGAAATAACACACACATTGATTTGCAAAATCGAACCATTCATCAGTATCGGAAGGATGTGTTTACTTTGCTAATTGTACTCAAGCCTAATCTGATGTACATGGTCATCTGTTGCCTGTAGATGTTTCACAGTTATCTCTTAATAATTGTTTCCAGCTGTCGTTACAACACATCACAACCGTACCGCAAAAGATGTATTTCATGTGTAATAATTTCAGTGACAAAATCTCAGGACTTGCAACATTTTATCCTGGAATCTACTCCTTCCTCGCCAACGCTTTCGGTCTCTGAATCACTTAGTTCTGACTTCAATTAGAAGCGTTCTTATTAGCATAGTGTTTTGGAGACTTTTGTGTATCAATTAAGATGTATTGACACTCTTATATGCTCAATAGTGACTAGCTTCGAGAGTTCTAGTGAGAAGCCATGACCAGTCGAGTTCAACTGTGTCGGGTGTGGATGATGTCACAAAATATCGTGGATTGTTTGAAGTGAGACAATAACACAGTTGAATGCTAGCTCCGTGATCCAGATGTTAAGCGTTCGCACGCCTAACCGAAGGTCCTGAGTTCGGATCCCGTGTGCGGGATTGTGAATGCGCGCTTCTGAATTGTTATACTAGGCCGAATCGACCGTCCAATGCTTTCATGTTTTCAATGGTTGTTAAATCTTGATCGGTTCATGATCATAATTAAAATCGTCCTTGTTAATTCACATATATTGTAGTGCATAGCACGTCACATTTGGTTAGACTTATTTCAATTTGAGAAATAGGGAACGTCAACATAGGTTAATCTACAATTGATTTTATCATTATCGGGTCAACTCAAATGGCCACGTGTTAGCAATCAGACGTGTTTATGAATTAGACCATTGTGTTTTTCGTATTTATATGAATGTGTACACCATTAGCAAATTATTGATCGGCTGAGTTTGATGTCAATAAGAGGACAGATGAAAGATTGATAACAGACAAGCACACCATCACACGCTATGTCTGTTGACATAAATAATATACACCACAACATTGTCCTACTGAAGTGATTTATTCATAAGTTTAAACACATGTGATAACTGTTATTAGTTCAAATGATGTTCTAAAATTATTCATGTCAATAGCTAAACGAAAAATAATTTTCTTCTTTTGAATTAAAAATTTCATTATCATTCAAATGCATGTAGGGCAATCAAAATGTCGCTAAATCCTAGCCAAATCATACGGCACTTGGGTCATTGAATATCGAGGAAATTATCGATCCTCGTCAAGGTCAGGAACAACCAACACGCATCAGTTAGTCATATACCATGGACTGGCCCATGCGGCAGTGGTCTTTTTTGCGCTTGTATCTAACTTAACTAGTATATTTCTGTAATAACGTCCTCTGTGTTATACAGTCTTCAAAGCATCTATGGTACCTTGAAACCTCAATGGGATAGTCCACGTAAAGTTTTGACCACGAGGTGTGACTTCGACGTTAGCTGGTTCGTGACACCATTCCCGTCTAATTCGAGTAGGTCACTAATCATTTTCGACATAGATCATCTACGTTAGTGATCTACATGCAGTTAATTGTCATTAGACACATGTGTTCATCAACAAGAAGGGAAGCGGAAAAGAGGAAGGCTGAAGAAAACACTACGTCCGGAAATGGTATCAGATATGAAAATGATGAATAACAAGTGAAAACAACCGGAAAGGAATGCCGAGGATAGGGTCGGATGTAGAATGCTGATGGGTGGCCTAAACTCCACCAAGGGGCGTAGCAGATGTAAGTAAGTGAGCAAACTGAGTGATATATAGTCTCTTCATAGGTAAAGAAATTACGTGTACAAGAATTTTACCAATTTTTTCTTGTCAAAGTAATCAGCACAACGAAACAAATTACGTTTTATTTTTACGTAGTTACTAAGAAAATTGATTCCACTTTTTTCTCAATGTCTATTGATAACCCGTTGTATCATATGGTGCTCGGATAGAGTTGATATAACCCACTTTTTCTTAAACTACAGTTTTATATTACACGACAATGAGACTGTCCTACAGTATTTTATCATTTAAGTTAAGCTCAAAAATACGAATGCAGATTTCGTTATCCATTCAAAGTACATTGTAGTACATGGATTTCAATTAATCACAAGGGTCGCTCACTATCGTGGATTGGTTGAAGTGGGACATTAACATTTTTGGATGCTGACCTAGTAGTCTAGAAGTCAAGTTTACGCGCTCGAGCGTGATTTCATAGCTTGAAATTGGGCAAACCGACAAAACCTATCATTAAATTTGCGTT